CACTAACAATGATACAATAAATTAAATCAACACTTTAATTCTATATTAATGTAAATTTATTAATAACACAACATTTTCAAAACTTTTTGTTGTGATATTTTGAACATGGCGCGACATATTGGTTTCGCCCAGTGGTTCTTAACTTTTAACCCCAAATAATTATTGTGATATTCCAAAACCATATTGACACTGTACTGTTCAAGTATTCAATTATAAATTAAATTAAAATATATAATTATTCATATTTATATTTTCAATAATCACTTATAAAAGTTTGAAATAATATTTTTATATTTGAAAAACGTTTGAGAATCTCTACTCCAGTATGAACTTGTTCACAAATCGCTTGTCAATGGCGGCTTCTCCATTGTATTGAAATTTACGCTTGTAGTGCTATTTTCTTGTGTAGTAAAAAATGGTAATAATTAATGAATTACATAGTAAAACTTAAGATTTACGTTAAGAAATGTAGTAGACGTAGTGCGTAAATTTGTGCGTATTTTTAATACTCGAGACACCCTATTTATAATTATCAAGGTGTTACGTGGAGACATATACAAGCGTCCTAATGCAGATATATATTTATATATACATATATATCTCGATTAAATGCACAATCAATATTGGCTAAAAATACTTGTTGCAATAGCTAAAATTATATATACATCAAGTTTTTATTAGTAGTGTTGAAAGTTCTTTTTAATGATGACATTATGGATGCAACTCTAAATGTTTTTTTCCACTTGTAGATTATATTGATATAAAGCTGAATTGAAGTAAATAAAATCATGGCGAGCCCTTCGCCCCAAAGCAGCCCTATGCCGCCTCCTCAGGTAAATGATAAATTATATATATAAAAAGATCTTAAAATAATAAATGGTTAGGAAATTTCTAGATGGTAATGAATTACTTGTTAGTTTACACATATACAGTAGAACCTCAATTAACCAGACTAATTGTTGTCGATAGAGGCATCCGGATAATCGAAAGTATGAAGAATAATGTTGTGTTTTTATTAAAAATAACAAATACATACATAGATATCAACAAAAATAATGTTTATTAAGAAATTGAAACTTTGTTATGTATGTACATATATTTTTTCTTAGATTACATTACATACATATACTAAACTGCAGAATTAATCATGCAAAAATTACAATTGTAGGTATGTACATGCATATAAATTAGTCACTGTTGGTAGTCCAGATAATCGCAAATCCGTATAACCGAGGTCTGAATAATCGAGGTTCTGCTGTAATTGTTTTATATTGATAAAACTATTTTGTGCTTCGACAATTGTAATTTTCATATTTAAGTAGCTTATGCTTAGTTTGAAGCACTAATTCAAGCTAAATGTTTGTTATAATAATATGTTCTATTGTTGGTTTAATCCAAGAGAATATATACAATGTCTTTTATGTATAAATATATATTTTTTATATTTTTTTACCGGGCATGTTGAGGGAATTGGAATGAGCCTCCCGGGTTCAGATATTATATAGAGTTTTAGATAATAATGCATAATATTTCGATTTTATGCTAATATATATTTTACGGTGGATAAGTTATTAGTAAATATAAACTAATAAATAAATTTATTCTATTTTATTCTTATAAAAGGGTTGAAAGAAAGTTATCAAAATTAAAGAAATCGTAAAATCTAATATCACAGTATAATTCCATTTTAATATAGAAAATTATCCAATTTAAAATAAAACTTTCTATCTGAATATACATTATACAAATATTATTTATGAATAAAGAATTTGAAATATATTTTTGCCTTATTCTTGGCACGAAGAATCTTTGTTTGATTAATTATTTTTATTAAGACAATCATGTTAATATCTTTTATGAAAAAAAACAGTATTTAAGTAGTTCAGTTGATTTTACCAAACTTCTGTCGAGTTTGTAAAATTTTAATAATCCATTTAATAAAAATTGAATTGAATTGATAATCTTATGCAATTTTTAAGGAATCTTATGAACTTAATGATCATTATATAAATTATTATCATACATGATAATTGATGAAGTTTGTTCATTTTTATTTAATATAAAATACAGAAATAACATTTCATATACTGGAGAGCATTTCCATAAATATCTTTTTGTTCATTTTATGGTTGTGCTTACAATGTCTGTATTAATGCTTCGAGTTATTTATTTTGATAATTAAGTGGTTTTAATTAAAAATCAATACTTAACAATTGAATGATGATTTTATTAGAAATCGATATTTTTGTACACTTTTGTTTTTGTATATAAACTCATAACATGCTCAATCTAACTTGGGGCTAATTTGCTCCATACATTTATAATTTAATATATATACATTACATTACTTAGTAAATCATACAATTTTTATTATATTTTTTTTTTACCAGGCACCAAGTCCTATGGGACCTCCCTCACAAAGTCCGGCACCACCGCCTTCTCCTCACAGTCCTTACAGCCAAGGTCCTCCACCACCGCAGCAACAACAGCAACAAGGGCCTCGCAACAGCAGGGGCTACCTCCACAACAAATGGGACCAAATGGAATGGGACCGCAAGGGCCACTCCAAATGGAGGACATATGGTTCCACCACATCCACAACAGTTCGGAGCTCCTCAGCATCCTAATATGCCACCAGGAAAATAACAGAATTATAAATAGACAAATAAATAATTAATATTGTTTTTTATATATACTAGATGACCCGGCAGACATTGTCCTGCACCCACGTCTACGATTCAAATGTTTCAAATTTTCAATATCCTGTCCTATACTATTTAATGCCCTATTTGATGTCCTGCCTTTGTGATTCATTTATGGCCTTAACATAAGTATATGAAATTTAGAAAAAAAATAATATAGTATCTGTGGTAAAAGAATAAATATTTGATTTTGGAATAAACATTTGATTTTATCACACAACATAATTGTTTCAACAATTCAGTCTATAATTTTTATAATCTCATACGATATATTAGTTGCTTTTTGGCAATTATAATTTATAGAGTACATTTTTCTTACTAATAATTTAATAAACATTATTGTTTATGTTCAAATCTTAGGTGAATTAATTTGTAAAATCCAGTTCTTATGTGCACTATTCAGTCTAGATCAATTTGCTAAATATTTTTTTGTATTGTTAAATAATTTAGTAAAGTAAACCAAAATGGAAATGCATTAGTTTAAAAAAATAATGTATATGCAATTGTGGACTTATTGCGTTATTTATTAAACTGAATTATATAATTTCATCTGCCAAACATATGAACTGTTGACTACATCTTATATTATTTTTAATTTCTGGCTCATCTCATCTGCTTTTTGGCAATAATAATGTAGACATTCAATTTTTCCTATTCATGATCATATATATATTATATTTTAATATTGTCCTAGCCTATAAGTGAATTGAAATGTTTGGCAGATGACAGTTTTCATTTGTTTTCCAAGCCAAGCAATGCCTTGAATATTTTCAATGCCAAACAATGATAAGCATTGTTTTGTAATATTTTCTATTTAATTCTGCAATCTAATTATATTTCTATAATTCAAAAATTCTAAAAAAAAATCCTTAACAAACTTCAGAAAGATTTATCAAATTTGACTAATCGTTTAGGAGGGTTATCCTTTCATACAACACTACAGAATAATTTTACATATGATATATATATATATATATTATATATATATATATATATTATGAGAACAGTTATATAAAAATAATTTTATATAAATACATTAATAATATTTTGTATAGAATTATATTTGTGTTTTTTATGATTTTTAAATTAATTTTTTTTACAATCATATTGGTAACAAAATTCAAGAAATGTATTTACCCATATATTTTACAATTATTATTATTATTATTACAGGTCATCCTGGCGGTCCAATGGGTCCGGGACAACCTCATCCAGGAATGCACGGCATGCCGCCTCAAGGACCACCTATGGGCTATCATCCGATGCCTCAACATCCTAATCAGGTAATTATATGTTAAATTATAATTATAGAAATTTAATATTATATTTTGAAATTAACAGTTCAGTACAGTTGAGAGAATATTATTATTATCAAGAGATTTGAGTTTTATTATTAATAAATTTCTTCAGCTTTCTTCAGAATTTTAGAAATTGTTAAATAGCGAAAGATTGTATTTATAAGATTGTAAATAAAATTTAAAATATTGTTGATTGAAAATCATTTTGTACACAACATATTAAAAAGTTGAGCTTAAAAATAAAAAACGTAGTGTTAAAATTCTGAAAAAAAACATAAATATATTTAATAACATATTAAATTTTCAACTCTAATATTTCTAACTGTTTCAAGCTTTCTTGATCATTTTGTTTATTATCATTCTATAAATTACATCACCATACAATTATTATTGATTACGGCTTGCTTATGAATAAATAATAAATAAATAGATATAATTAACCCTTCGTGAAGTTAAAAAAATGCCAATTGGCAATCAAAAATGATCATTGGACATGGACCAAATTGTCAGATATTTTTTAGTTTATTTATTTAGTTTTATTCTGCTTTAAAAAAAATATTTATCTATCTTTTATCTAGGGGCCAAGTCCAGGACCAATAGGTCCTCCACCTCCACAAGGACCTCCCCAAGGACAAGGTCCGCCCATGCAACACGGCCCGCCGCCTCCGCACCACCAGCAACCGCCTCCCGGTATGCCTCCAGGGCCACCAAATGCACCACCTCAACAACAGGGACCGCCAGGACCTCCTGGGCCAGGAGGTCCACCACAGCAACAAATGCAAGGACCACCGATGCCACCACAAGGAGGTGGTCCCATGCCACCACAACAGGGCGGCGGACCGCCTCCTCCTCAAGGGGGCCCTCCACCTCCGCAGGGACAGGAGAATTTGAGTGCTTTGCAGAGGACTATTGATACTATGGAGGAGAAAGGATTACAGGTAATAAATGATAGGATTATATATATATATATATATATATATATATATATATATATTTATATTTATATTAGGGTGGATTTGGTGGTCCTGGAGGCTAGATTAATATGGACATTTTCGAATTTCCTTGCTCCCAGGGGCTCAAATGGTTCCAAATAATAAAAAACAATTCTCTGAAAATTTTAGCTCTTAATATTAACGTTTAGATAGAGCGCAATTCAATCAAAGTTTTGTGGGGAAATAGCATGGAAAATTTTTCAAAAATTTAACTCTCACTCATTCATTTGTCGCTAAGTTATACCTAAAATTTTCTTTTTAAATTTTCAAAATTTTTTCCATGCTATTTCCATACGAAGTTTGATTGAAATCCGCACTAGACTAAAACTTTCAGAGAATTGTTTTTCATCAATTTGGAACTATTTGAGCTCTTGAGAGCAAGGAAATTTGAAAATGTCCATATTAAGGACCACCCTAATATATATATATATAATATATATATATATATATATATACATTAAATAAAATAGTAATTAAATTAAATAAAGAAAATAGTTGAATATAAATGTTTGTTTTGAAAAATGGTTTCTTAACTCTGCCTATTGGGTACTTTAGGAGAAAGATTAAATGGTAATAAAAGTATATTATTATATTTTTTTTCAGTCTTTTTGTATTTTATATAAAAGTATAAATATTATTATAAAATTTGAAATATTATCTAAAATAGTTACATTTTAAATCTAATTTATTTAATACCTATAATATTTTGTAATTAGCAATGAGCATAAATGGTTTTAATTATATTAATGTATTTTTCTTTATTTTTTCTAATAGGAAGATCCTCGTTATGGTCAACTTCTGGCCTTGCGTGCTAAGTATGGTCCACAGGATCCTTCAAAACAACCTTTCAGTCAGAATCAGCTCGTACAACTAAGGTGAATATTTTTTTGATATTATTAAGAATGAAGGGCTTGGGCTAGCACAAACGAGTTTCTTGTTTGATCGCATTCTTGGTCAGCTTGATATCAAGCAGCATTGTAACAAATTTCTACTTTTGGTTATATGTAGATAGTTTATAGATCTCATATACAATCTCAAGTGAAAATTGCCATTTGTGGGCATTTCTGTCCATAAAGAAAATATATAACATATAATGTAGAACATAGTATAAGATATAATGGATATCAAAGAAGATATAAAAAAACATAATAGCTGTTGATGATCGATTACTTTCCATGTTTACAATGATGGAAATTATAACTTATTAACTTCCCATAGGGTAAGTTATAGTAATCGCAAAAAAACGAAAATGGAAAATTTTATATATCTTTATGTTTGTTCAAAAAGTCGAATTTTTGAAAAAATTTCAAAATTTCTCAAAAATCCAATTTTTTCAAAGTCTCTTTAAATTTAGTTTTCGGTACGGGAAGTTCCAGCAATTTGCCTTAAGGCACGATGCCATGCACCACTAGGTTATGTTTATAATTGTTGCCAAATAAACATTTTGTTTGCAAAAATGGGAATTCCTACAAGTGCATTTTTTCTTTCAGAGGACAAATAATGGCATACAGAATGTTGGCCAGGAATCAACCATTGAACCAGCAACTTTTGTTATCCGTCCAGGGTAAAAGACCAGATGGAGTAAATCCTCCTCAGTGCCCTACACCTCCAAGCAGCCCGTTCCAACCTGGACAGCCTGGACAACCTCCTGCACAGGTAATGATCAACTTGGGGTTATATATAGCACTATACTAATTGAATTCATATGTGCATTTATTTTTTACACAAAAATAAATAGATTATTTGCGCTAAATTTAATAATATATCATGTTGTTCAACATATTGCTTTACAGCAACTTGATATATGTACATATTTTAAAATCTTTATTGATTGGTTAAACTACATTTTTATTTAATTTCTTTCATATTTCACATACATTTATAGTTAACAACTGGTTTATCAGATAATATTATTTAAATAGAAATTATCTACATTTTAACGTCAACATAAAATTTTGACTTTGTTTTTTTTAATTGTAAGCTTATTTAAATATATTGAACATAATTTTTAAATGGTTTGATAAACCCTTTTTATTAACACTGCTGTACATGCTAGCAAGTCATCCAAATATTTGTTACACAAAACATTTTAAGATTTTCCAGTCGATCAATCAATAAAATGTATTTGAAAATAAAAATTACAATTCCAAGAAACTAAAAGCTACATTAACAAATTAGAATAATCTGACACTGAGTTAGAAACATAAGTTGACATCTTTGATGTCCAAAGATGGCACCAATGCGGAGTAAAATATAATTAAGAAAGCATCATAGCAGCATTCTATAAAAGCAAAGGTTTTTTTTTTTAAATACTATACCCAGGTCAAACGTAGAAGTCTAGGATAAGTTTTTGATGTCAATATTTAACTTCCCAAACGAGAAGTTTTTCACCCAAAAATCCGATTCGCGGATTTTGTTTTCTCAACGTTTCAAACTATTCTGAATCGAATGAGACCAAATTTGGAAAAAGTATGTGCGTGTGTGTGTGTGTGAACAGATTTTTTGCCGTAAATCGATGTTTTCTCAAAAAGTGCTGGACCGATTTCAAAAACTTAAAAGCTATTAGAAGTATCTCGATGAGGAGTATCGTTTGTCAGTTTTGCGCAACGATCGGCCGAGCCGTTTTTTTTTCAAATCGCAGAAAGTGAAAAATATTTCGTCCACGTCTTAGCCCGGAATTCTGAATCGATTTTGAAAATTCAAAAACTGTTCGAAAAATATATAAGTGAATCGACCTGATTGGTTTTTGGTAAAGATCGGCCGGGCCGTTTTCTTGTAATAGTGTTAATTTTTTTTTGACATATTTTATTATTCTTTGTTTGACGGTAGATACCATAGTCTTATAGATCATACTAAAATATTACGGCCCTACAAGTCGTTTGACTTTAAAATTTCGTCAAAGTTTTCAAAAATTAGTACCGTTCGTACTTGCCTCAAGGTAAAATACCAATACCAACTAGTTTTTTAATGTCGTCCATAGACGACGCCTGTATCGAAAGGGTTAATGAAACCATTTAAAAAAATCTACAGCAATTTTAATATTAAAATAAAATCTATTTAAAATAAAATATTATTATTAAATTAAAATAAAGTCTTATGATTTTGGTAATATGTAGTTTTATAATTTCTGTATTGGTTTATTTAGTTTGATGACATTATTCATCAAAAAATTGTACTTTCATTCTGTGACAACTTTTGTGTCTACTCGTAAAAAATATTGTGGATGTCGTTTAAAAAAAAGAGTGTAAATAATATAACCCAATATAACATTTATTTAACTATTAGATTGTCAAATATCTCCCTTCCGCTTTTTTGCTCTTGGTTTATAATACAAATATGCGGAAGGGAGATATTTGACAACCTATTATAACCATTTGTGTCTCACAACCATGTCACTAACACTTTTGTCTGTCTTTGTCTGTGTCCTCCTATCATCTGTCCACGTGGTGTTCCCTTTCTTGTGGGTTTTATGTGTCGTTATCCTTCAATTTCCATCGCACAAAAGAACGGAGCTCCCCAATCGCAGCAGCAGCAGCCTCCTCCGCCTCAGCAGCAGCAGCAGCAGCCTGGTGGACCGCCGCCTCCTGGTCAGAACGATCCTTCGAGAGGCGGTCCTCCGCCTCCTCCGAATGTTGGAGGTCCGCCGATTTCTCTTCAGCAGGGGCCTCCTCCAATGGCCCCTCAGCAGCAGCAGGGACAGGGGCCACCTCCGGGGCCTGGACAGGGACCTGGGCCTGGTCAGGGGCCGCCTCCTATGCCTATGATGATGAATCAGGTAATAAGGGGAGGAGAATTCGGGAATCTGTCTAGATAAATGATAGTTGAAATATCTGTGTAGCGTTTTTAATATTTTTTTAGAGTATTTAAATTTTAAATGTATTTATATTTACAATTTGAATCTTGAAACGAAATTTTTGACTACTTTGCAAATAATACCAAAAACGTATTTGTTTATTAACTTCCCGTAGGGTAAGTTATTGTAATGGGCCGAAAATCGAAATTGAAAATTTTTACATTTCTCGACGTTTTGAAGGTTTCTGAACATTTTGGCATACTTCAGAAATAATGGATGTGTGTGTGTGTGTGTATGTGTGTGTGTGTGTGTGTATGTATGGATACAAATTTCCAGTCACATTTTCGGGCGCACGGATCAACCGATTTGAATGGTTCAAAAAACATTCGATTCCTATTGATTGGGTAAAAGAGCTGATTAGTTTTTGGCAAAGGTAGGTCCAGCCGTTTCGGAGATACGGAGAAAATAGTGCAGAAAATAGAAATCGACTTTTTGAGAGAACGGAGTATCCGATTTGAATGATCTAAAAAACATTCAATTAGTAATGATTGGGAGAAGTGTTTATTAGTTTTTGGCAAAGGCAGGCCCAGCCATTTCGAAGATACGGAGCTAAATATGTAAAAAATGGTAGTTTTTGAGAGAGAACTAAGCGTACGATTGAAATGATTCAAAGAACTTTCTGCTTGTCTTAACAAAATAATTGATTTCGGAAAAAAAAATTCATAATTTAAGATAATTTTTTTTATTTTTTTTTGTGTATCGAAAATAATTCAGATTTTATTTTTATTCTGTCTAAAGTTCTAATATAACTTAAACAAATAATTTTAACTTTGCAATTCAGTTTATATAATTCTTATAAATATTAGACAATGTAACAATATTTATAATAATCTATTTGAAAACATTCAGTATTCCTCGAACATTTCGTTACGATACGGGAAGTTCCAGCAATTTGCCTTAAGGCATGATGCCACCCACCCCACTAGTTTATTTATTTATTCAACGCCCAAGGCAATAATACAATATATAGTTCAATTTGACGTATACAAATTATAAACTAAAGAAATAATATGTGAGAAAATTAGAGTATTAAGAGTTCATAGATAGCTTTGTATACATACATAACACTTAATATAAACTACGAATATATAACATTAAATAAAAACTAATAAAATTAAACATTTAATAAACTATAAATCACTACTTAAGACAGCCTTTTAAGGATAATTTTTCTGGCTTGATTTTTTATATTTGTCACCATTGTATTAATAAACAACTTTATAAATATCAACTAATATAAAATATATTATTTAGTTTATTATTATGGTCTTGGATTAATTTTAATACATTTTTTGCGTTTTATTGGAAACACTTTCTTTTATTTTCTATTAATCAAAATTATCTATTACAAGCCTATAGCATTTTCACCCTCTGTATTGCAACCCATTGGTCCACTTGTCATTATATCTCTTGTAACTTTTGAACCGTCCGTCCAAAATTAATTAATATATCAGCAAAATTGTGCTAAATTAAATTATCTATTATTTTTTCTAATTCATAAACACACTACAGCAACTCGGAATGGTTTAAAATTGCAAAAATAGACTTCAGATTTGGAATGAATTACGTGCACGGAAGCTTATTGGTTTCTTTTGTTTGCTACTATGATATTTGGATAGTGCTCGTCGAGACCTTTTATTTGATAGCCCACATGCCTATATTTGAAGTGAAACTTTTTAACTCATATTTGACCCCTTGTACTATTCATTTATTTATTAAATCGGTTGTAACTTCTATACTATTCAATGGATGTGAATGGTATCTTCGACAAGTTTGTACGCCATAAAATTATCTACAATATTACTGAACATTGTAATGAGTTTATATAAATATTTTTCAAAAATTGTCATTTCAAACAAAAAAGTTGATGTTTTGAGTTTGTAATAACACTTGCGAAGGTTTTTGAGTATAAATTAAACACCAAAGAAAAACTACTTACTTATAATTAAATGAAATTAATCTAGAATATCCTATTAAATTTAATTGAACAAAATCTGCCATTAATTGTTTCATTTTAAATTACGTTTCTACAAAACATTTTAAAATATAAATGTAAAGTTTTTAAACTGTTTTGAAATAATTTCTCACCTTTCCCACAATCTCTGGATTAGTACAAATATTTCAAGACTAAATCTAGCCAAATCGGTTCAGCTGTTTTTGAGTTTTAGCATACCTAACATAATATTTTGCTCTATTTTTATATATAAGGTTGTACTAGATATTTTAATAACACTTGTAGCAAAATTTGAAATCAAAGAAAAAATCTGTTTTATTATATTTTTTATTGCTAGACAGATTCAATTCTTTCACCATATACTCTGATTTCTAATCTTTGCATCCGCAATATTTATTTAATTAATTATATTTTAATTTTCAGGTTCTCATTATATTTCTTTGTAGGTCCTCCTTGCTTTTTAGATCCTATTGTCCTTTTGTATCCTTTGTAGAGCTTTGCATGTTTTTTTTATTTGTTATATGTTGAATAATGGAATATGTAAAATTTGCTCGATTATTGAAATTATTAACAAGGGGAATATAAAACTTACATGTCTGACATTTTTGATTAAATGAGAGTTGTGTAGAAACGATGACCTTAAAATATTATAGGCCTATGAGAAGTTGTTTTATTATAAATATTAGGAAAAGTTCAGATAATAAATGGCCGATGGATTTTCATGTCAATATTATAAAAACTATTCATTAATATCAATTCATTGCACATATTTTGCAAGCGAAAATTAATATATTCAAAACAAATAGTAAGAATAAGTTCTAGTAATTTAAAACCTATTTAAAAATATGTTTTTTTATATCTGTCATCGTCTATGAAATATTTCTTGAGCAGATTTTGCATGTTGGATGTAAGAATTTTGCTTAATTATATGTTCTATGCTTTACTAACACAAAATGTAAATTTTGCAGTATCGTCTGGAAGAATGATTATATTTTATTTAATTTTTTTCTGAAATTTATAGATAATGTTTGCTTTAGCTGATTTTTTGAGAAAGATTGTGCAAAAAATTGTTAATTTCTTGATATACATTTATTTTCTCAGCTTAAGCAACTATTTATTACATTTCTTATTATAATTATATAACTAATGTTGCTTAATTTCTCGAAATTGTTAAAATTTATGCAATTAGTTTTCTGATGCCTTATTAATATTAGCTAACAGCGTCCATAGATAAAAGAAGTGTAAATAGATCGCAAACACGGACGGTTTGTCGTTACTTCAATTTTAATTCTTTCCGCACTTCATAGGGGCGTCACAATCTGTAGCACGTAAATTTACCCCTAGGTTCAATTCTAGATAAGATTTATACAAATATATAATATAGAAAAGATAAACCTGAATAATTTGAATATATAATATATAATCCTATAAAATTTATTTTCAAAAAAATCACTTTTTTTTACAAAAGTATAAAAAAGAGTGCGCGTAAGGTTCACACGTGATTGAAGTAAAACTTTTGAATGTTTATTAGTAATATGATAACATTCGCGATGCACACATTTTTTAATGTCGAATATTATATATATTCGAATATATAAATATTTTTAATGCTATTTGAAAACAATAATGTAATTAAAGTTATACTTCAAATACGACATGATCGGTTTGTGATTGTAATTAGCATTTAGGACTTGAATATTCATTAGCGAAATGAAGTAATTGCTGATTAATAAATTGTATAATATTCGTTCACGCAGTGGATTTTGTTAAACAACACTTAAAAAAATATTGTTTTCACATTGTTTGAAGAACTTCATGTAATTAAAATTAACATACATTCGTTGACTGCTAGTATTTTTGCTTTACTTTTTCGCGGGCGATACAGTCTCATTCTTTGAGCAGATGTAATACCTGTCTTGCCTTTAAAAATATTTTCCATTTTTATAACTCCAAATATTTATAGAAACTACGAACTTACGTTTCTTATACGGCACAAATGTTTCATTTGTTTTATTATTTCCATTGTAATTATATACGGGGACAAGGTAAAATATTTATCTGATTCAGACATTTTTTTTATTAAATCAAGATTTATACCACGATGTAACCTTAAAATCTAATGACTTTCCGATCTTCTTATTGATCTCTATTCACTCGACACGACGACTAGTCACAATCGACCCGTATAGAAATGATTTCATCGAGAGCGAATGACGAACGGTTCGGGCGTAACGTAACTTCCCTTGCAGTTTTACAGATTTACTCCCTAGTCGCGCCTAAAGAAGTTTTACTTAAAAAAATTATAGCTTATTTATTTTTTTTTTTTTTATAGCAAGCTATACAAAGTACATTCAGCTACAAAATTATAACTTCAAACTGTATTATAATAAGAGAATTAGTTTTTTAAAAAGAGTGAAAAAATTGATTACAGTAGACCCTCTGTTGAGTGCGTAAAACACTAAAACAGAATAAAGAACATTTGTTCTAAGTTTACTTAATTTCATAATAAATCATAGAAAGCATGAGAAATCTTATTTACTACTTCAACTATTCATTTATTATTATAATTACATAATTCCATTACCTTTATCTCCAGGGTCCGCCACAGATGCCAGGTCAACCTCCAAACAGCCACCAGCCTCAAATGATGCAACCAGGAATGCCTCTCAGCAAAGAAAGAATGATGGGGACCCATCAGCCGATGGGACCAGGTCAAAACAGATGGCTCCTGGACAACCTGGTGCACAACCTGTGGGACCTCCGACACAGAAACAGAACAGGATCACCACTCTCGCTAAACCTGTCGGGCTGGACCCTGTTTTGCTGCTGCAGGAGAGGGAAAACAGGTCAGGAGGGAAAGGGTCTCAGGGTAAAATTTGTTTGGTTGTGCAGTTTTTGATGTTGGAATTTTTTTTGCAGAGTTGCTGCTCGCATAGCTCATAGGATTCAGGTTTTGAGCAACTTGCCGACTACTATGCCAGAAGATTTGCGTCTACAAGCTCAAATCGAGCTTCAAGCTTTACGTGTCATCAATTTCCAAAGGCAGTTGCGCAGTGAGGTACATATTTAAATAATATTTATATATATATATATATATATATATATATATATACTAGCTGACCCGGCAAACGTAGTTTTGCTAAGTAAGGTATATTCTAAACAATTTCTCGAGAATCAAAAATATTAATACTTTAAGTATAAGGATCTGTTGTTTGAATGCTAGACACAATGAAGTATTATAAAAACAATAAACCCCATTAGTTTGTCTATATTTTGTCAATTCAATCGAACTGGAAGTTTCATACACTTTCTATAGAGAATATGGCATAATCCAATCCAAGTCTTTTTTGGTGTTTCGACTTACTGATTACGTTTCAAGTTTTTCACATTCTTTTTGGATTCTGGATGTTGTGTATAATTGTAAATAATACTACTGAGCTTGTACACAATTTTTAAATTTCCCCTAGGAGAGATAGGAATTGAATTAAGTATTTCTTCTTTGATCTGCTTTGTGAAAAGTTTCAAGTAACATTCAATGAATTAAAGTAAATTAAATAAAAAATATTTATGTAGAGCAGGGCGAGGCACAAAGGTCCAATTTGACTTTGAGCAGATATGAATTATATTATAATAATCAAACCAATTGTATCACAACAAATAACACATTTCGAAAAGTACTATTATCTGACTACGTTCAGTAAAACTGCCAGCTACTTCATCATTGTAGAAGTGTGCTTTTTTGATGTCTTTCAAAAATTTGTTATCTAGACCTTTTTACCCTTAGAGGGGTAACTTAGTTCGGCCAGGTGGCTAACAGGTTTAATGTCTTATTTTAATTTTAAAGATATTTTACAAAATAATTACATTTTTGACTAATGCTATAAAACTACCAACGGAAGAAAATACTTTTATTATGGAAAGATTACCGTTTATCTTCCGATAGCAAAGTCATGGAAATCAAGGTTGTAGCTGGTTATACATCTTTTTCCCTCTACTTTCAAATATTGTAGTTAAATAATGCCTAACTTTACTGGTTTTTGGCACATCGGTGCCTTTTTATTTTACACCTTCATATATTACTATCTATTCTTCAATAAATTCTGGTAAATTATAACTGGGAAAATGTTATTCAACAAAATGTCCCGTTGATCGATACCAAATTTAGGTTCTGAATTGAAATAACATGAATAAAAAATAATATAACTTAGAAAATGTTTTATAAATACCAATGAGTATATAATTATACAAATAAGATCTTTCAGAGCACCGTGTTTGAGAAAAATATGATTTGCAAAAAAAAATGCTACAACGCTAAAAAGTGCATTTTCATATTAACATTTCAAAACAGTTGATATTTTGGGTTTCAAGTAACAATTGCGGCGTTTTTGTGTATAAATATAACTATGAACAAAACTACTCACTATAATTTGATCATAATTAAATAATTTTCACGTAAAACATCCTATTAAACGTAATTGAGCATCATCTGTCAAAAACGTTCGACATTTGACGTATTAGCTACCGTCCATTGTTTTATTCTAATTACGCTTCTACAAAAATTTTTAAATTAAAAATGTAAAGTTTCTACGCGATTTTGAACTAATCTCACCTTTCCGACAACCTACTGATTAGCACGAATTTTTCAAGACTAAGACTGGCCAAATCGGTTCAGCCGTTTTCGAGTTTTACCGAATCATTTGATCGAGAGCTACATTTTTATATATAAGATATATAATCCTGAATTATAATTGTAGATTATTTATAATTACTTTTTTGGATAGGTTAATATGTGTACAAGACGTGACACGATGCTGGAAACTGCTGTTAATGTCAAATCTTACAAAAGAACCAAACGACAAGGTCTGCGTGAAGCCAGAGCCACTGAAAAGTTGGAGAAACAACAAAAAATGGAAGCCGAAAGAAAACGAAGACAGAAGCATCAAGAATTTCTTTCTTGTGTACTGCAACATGGTAAGAAAATGATACATGTTAAACATATTTATTTATTAAGTTAATCAATATATATATTTAATACGAGTATTTTTTATTTATAGGCAAAGATTTCAAAGAATTCCATCGCAATAATGTTGCAAAGTTGGGTCGTCTCAACAAAGCTGTTATGAATTATCATGCTAATGCTGAACGTGAACAAAAGAAGGAACAGGAACGTATCGAGAAAGAACGTATGCGCAGGTTAGTATTTAATACATGGTATAAAATAAAAAGTATTTTTATTACCAAACTAGATGTCTACAATTTTTATAATATAATATACTAATATTTACAGTTTACCTAAAAATAATAATTATTGTTTTTTAAAAATTACTCTTCACGCCAAATGCATATATATTTATAATATGCGCGATGTTAAATGTAGAATTGCTTTAAATTTAAAATGATAAGTCTCAATTACCACACTATATTGGAAATTGAAAT